ATCACAAATACCGACGAATGGGACGAGACCTGGTTGAGCTGCACTAGAGAAGGCAACGAGTGTTATCACTATGTCGGAGACGCGCTAGTTTTCCCAAGGCAGACGAACTTAGAGTGGTTACAATCGTCCGGGTTTAAACTGCGCTCAAATTGATTTGATTTTGACTTCTATATTTACACTGAATCTCGCAGGTGGCTATGGTAAGGGGCAGGACATTTCCCGACCAGGCGCTGAGTGCTGCCAATCACAACACACACTGGCCCAGCTAACCAATCACAACACACACTGGCCCAGCTAACCAATCACAACACACACTGGCCCAGCTAACCAATCACAGCACACACTGGCCCAGCTAACCAATCATAAATCACATGTTATTATAAACGCCAGTTCTCACATGTGGCGTTTGGCACAGCCGCAAACATCCAGAATTCTCTTTCTCTCCAAACAAGCCGTAAGCGGCCCGCTGCTCACAAACATCACGCACTTCCTATAGAACCGCTCGTGTCTGAATCAATCTGTCAGTACACTTTGAACCGACTTTGAACGTCCAGCTGCTCTTAAAATCGGATAAGAAAATAACATATGGTTCACTTAGCTGTGAGATTTCTTGTCTGATGCTTCAAAGCATGAAGCAGGATTTATTAATAGCATGAATATTTAACTTTGAGATCACTTAAAGTGATAGTTCACCCAAAAATGACAACCCTGTCAGCATTTGCTGAGCCTCATGTTGTTCCAAACCGTATGATTTTATTTCCCATCATCGAACACAAAAGATGTCAGGCAAAATGTTGATGCTGCTCTTTTTTACAAAAGTGAATGGTGACCATCTGTCAAGGTCCAATAACAATACAATAAAAGCACCATGACAGCAGTTCATTTGACTTGTGCACTATATTCCAAGTCTTTTGAATCCATGTAATAGCTTGTGTTAGGAAAAAAGCTTTTACTCTCACATAAAGCTATTGTTTGGTGTCAAAATTTGTATGCATTAAGTTTTGTAATCAGTCACCATTCACTTGCATTTTATGGAAATTGCATCATTATATGGAAGAAAAAGAATTATACTGGTTTGGTATGACATGAAGGTGAGCAAATGATCAAAATCGTCATTTTTGGGTGAACTCTGAGACAGTGTTGTTAACTAAAACTATTAAAAATAGTTTTCAGTCATTGAAATAAAGCTGGAAAAAAAAACTTAAATATTAGACAAAAAAATCTTAAACTTAAAAAACTTGAAAATGAAAATGATAAATGCCTTGTCAAATAACTCAAATTAAAAAAGCTTAAATATAACAACTGAAATAAAAATAGAAATACAAAAAAAAACATTTAAAATTTTTTTAATTAAACTGACAAAAGCACAAAATTACTACATTGTAAACTAAAATGAAAAAGTACTAAAATATAAACTAAAATAAAAAATTAAAACGGAAAATATAAAAATAAATGCTAATTCAAAATATGAATACTTTAATAGTATATAAATAATACTAAAATATCACTGTTAAGAGTTTGTGTTGATGCTTTTAGAATATAAGTCTGATTCATTTAATGATTCGTGGTTTTGATTACTCTACTCAAGCAGTCATATAGTTCAGCATATCTTCGATTTGTCTTTCAAGATAGCGTCTATGCAAAGAGTTTGATGTGAACTTACCAGAGAAATTGCGCGACACCAGCATGGTGGTCAATATCGCACCCTATATGTAATAAAAATTGAAATTGATTAATTATATTGAGAAATAATGAACAGGTTCAAATGAATGATTCATTCTTTAAACCAGTCCTTTGTTATAACTCTTTCTTTATAATTTATTTGGAGACTAAAACTGACAGGTGGGTTCAAGATTGTTGCTAAAAGTCACGGGGCCTGGTGATAAACAGTTTAAGGTAACACTTTATTATAAGGTGTCCTTGTTACACATGTTATATGTACTTACTAGTATAATAACAATAAATTATGCATAATTACATGCAAGTAACCCTAAGCCAAACCCTAACCATATATGTAGTTAATTAATATTTCTCAGTACTTAAATGTATAATTACACTGTAACAAGGACACCTTAAAATAAAGTGTAACCCAGTTTAAATTAAGTAAACATTTATTTTGTCACAACAAACGTAAAATGGTGAACAATTTTGAGAGTTGCATTTTGAGAATGACTCATATGAATCCATGAACTGGTTCACTGATATACAAAACAATCCTAATGAACCACTTAGTCGAAATGAATCAGAATTGCCAACCCCAGACAAAAAAAAAAAACACCATCCTACGTACTGATCTGCAAAGTAATTAAACCGCTCGACTAGCGATACTCTAGAGAAAGTGGATGTGAAACACGACGGTGGCGGCTGAAGCTGTGAAAGCGCTGTTAGGCAACAGCCTCTTGACAACACCTGCCAGAGAAGAGCTCTCCACATCTGAGAGCTGATGTGTCTGAATATGTGCGGGCCATCGAGAGAGAAAGAAGATAGAAATAGATGCAAAGAACTCTCTCGGGAGGGAGTGTGGGACTCACCACATGCCCAAATGTCCACAGGTTTCCCATAAGCCTCCTTTCGTAGCACTTCTGGGGAAAGGTAACCTGGCGTTCCAGCGAACCCTGCATGTGAACGCAAAAATACACATCTAAAAATGCAACATCCAGGCTCTTTCCAACACATCAGTGTTTTTATGCCGGAGAAAACCATTTGGATGCCAGATGCCAGAAGTTAAACAAATAATGCAAAACAGTTGGGATTTCTTTCTTTGGGAGAGTTTGAAGTGACCACGTACCAAACCAGGCCTGCTGGTCCCCCTGCACTTCAATGGCCAGCCCAAAGTCGGCCAGCTTGACGGCGGCGTTCTTGCATTTACTGGCCAAGAGCAGGTTCTCTGGCTGAAGGGGAGATCAGGGGTGCACTCATATTACTGCTGAACCCAAATCTGATACATGTCACCTTTTAACACTTAACACATAACATACAACCACAGCTGCGCAAGAGATACAGCATACAAACAGAATCAGCTCCCAAAATATAAGCTGTGCTGGGCAGCGCCATGTTCTGTCACCGGTAAAGTTTGCTAGAAGCACATTGTCAGTTTGATTTCAACTCAAAATCATGTCTAATTGGCAAATTTCCAGTGACGTACTACTGCTTTCCATTTAAAATGTCTCCTAACAACTAAAATACAGGTGATAAATGATGCTAAGCCATTGTTTCACAACCAGGTAGCTGGGACCAGTCTTGTTTTAGTATTATTTATTATAGTTTTTATTAATATTTTATTTATTTATTTATCATTTTAATTTTGGTTAAATTTGGTAATTTTGTTATGTGCTTTTGACATTTTTATTACTATTATTATATATATATTTTTAATATTACTATTATTTCAGCTATTAGTTTTAGTTCAGTTTTGGTTGTTATCTATTTCCAGTTAGTAATTTTAGTGCTTCAACTAATGAAAATTAGAAAATATGTTTTGTTTTTTAAATCTATTATTTATATTTTATTATATTTCAGTTATATTTCAATTAACAAAAATGTTCTAATAGTTTTACTTTTAGTTTTAGTTAACGATAACCCTGGATGGGACCCCTCAGCACACTTTAAAGTGGGCAGCAAAATGGCTTAAAATAATTTAAAACAAGAAAAAAAAAACATCTTTGAAATGAACTAAAATAGATAAAATCAGGATGAAAACTGATGTCATATTTATTATTTTAATTTGTTCCTTCAACGACTACCATTTTAATGTAATTTTTAAAGAACCAGGGCTCCCATGGTCTTGAAATTCCTGGATATATGAGGGTATTAAAAAAGTGATTTCTAGACCTGGAAAAGTCTTGGAAATATATAAAATCTTAAAGGGTTAGTTCACCCCAAAATGAAAATTCTGTCATTAATTACTCACCCTCATGTCGTTCCAAAGCGTAACTTGGGGGAGAAGAATTGTTGAACAAATTATGTTATTTTTGTTTTCTTTCTCAAAAAGTATTCTCGTAGCTTCGCAAAACTGAAGTTGAGCCACTGATGTCACATGGACTGTTTTACTGATGTCCTAACTACGTTTCTGGACCTGGGAACATTACAGTTGCGTTGCTGTCTATGCAGGGTCTGAGAGCTCTCACATTTAATCAAAAATATCTTAATTTGTGTTCCGAAGATGAACAAAGGT